AAAGAGTTTGTTTTGTAAATGAAGAAATTAGTAGATGAATGAATGTGGTGAGACGTTAATAAGAAAAGTATGTGCTGCAAGGTTCACGTCAACAGTCCCTCCTCAAAAGTTTTTGTGAGAGTCTACTTTAAGACTGAAGCACATTGATTCTGGTCCTATTTGTGAAAACATAAACAGTACTTCCTGCAAAGACTGTGTCTCTTTCAACTGATATGACTGAGGTCTTCAGTTGTCTAGTGTTACAGCTGAACATATTTACCTGGTCAGTAACGTTTGAACTGATGGTTTATAAGTTAATTTATTTATTAATCACGTTTCTAATCAAATGGAAACATTTGACACTAAGCCAAGTTTTTTTTTTAAATTTTAATTAATTTTCTTTTACATTTCAGAGCTTGTGTTGCAAGTTCACCAACATTGGACAGTGTTGATAAGTGACTGTGTGTGTTAACATTTTAGTTTTGCCCGTGTCTGTGTGTGTGTGTGTGTGCAGTGGTCAGGGATGAAGGGCCAGTATTGACCAGTTGAGGGATGAGCTGAGGATGAGATGATTGTCTCCAGTGTGCAACTGGGCGATAAGAAGCAGCTTATGTCCTTCTTAGCTTTCGGGCCTGACGGCTAAAATATAACCCCCACCAGCCTCATCCTCCACCGTCCTTCTCTGCCGTGCCCTCAGGAGCTCCTCAGGGAGCGCTGACTCAGGTGACTGGGGTTTAAACATGATCGTCAACCCCCGCACCCCCCCACCCCACCCCTCTTTCTATCATTCCAAGCTTGTGTGTGACCTTGCCTCCACCCACAGAGCGAGGGGAAGGAGGAAACGAAGAAGGGCAGAAGTGGGTGGGGATAGGACTAGGCCCTCATTAGCCGGGGTGGAGGTGGGACAGCTCAGGAAAAGTGCACTAATTACCCCACTAACAATGTCCTTGCCGCCGTGGCTCAGAGCAGCCACTCCAACCTGGGATAATAATCCCATCACCTCCGTGAGGAGTTCAGGATAGCATTATCATGATCACTTTAATTGATGGACAGAGGGTGGTGTTAGAAGGCAGCAGGCTGATTGATGGATTTGGTTTCCGCATATGTCTATGTGGTTTGTTGAAGTCACTGTGACGCAGGTGGATTATTATACTTAAGAAAAAAGGTCTCTGCGTCCCACTTTCCTTTTGAAGAAAACCATGGGCATCACAGACACAGATAGCTACTAATTTTAGTAAATTACACTCAAAAATAAACGAGGTCTATCATTAGTCGAAAAAAGTTAGCAGTCACAGTCCAATCAAGCATCTCCACGCTTCGCAACCGGAGGGGACTGTTGTGTCTGAGGCTGTTTTCTGACTCACTGCTCCTCTGTGACTGAAAGGTGACGGCTGAAACCAGCGCCAGGCCCTTCATCTTCCCTGTTAGCGTGTGGAAAACAGTTTGACGACCCGCAGCCTGACATTACGGTGGGAGCCTGTAATCATGGGACTGTAAAAAACCAAAATCCAGCAGCCGCAAACAGTGTGGCCTCGTCATAGCGGTGGCAGCTAAGAACGGTTCACCACTCACGTCCCATAAACTCTGCTCTGCTGTGTCATACCAGAACCCCTCAGTGCAGGGTTCTGCTTCCAATAAAGTTGTCGGTTAAGCCTGTAAAGAGGATTTCTGCTGACACTTGACTACACTGACACTGTTCACATGTTATATATAACTGCATGTTGCACGTTTTTCACATTATTTTGTGGTCAAAGTTACAGTTTACTCTGACAACTTCCTCTGTGTCAATCACTTTGCTACAGAACCCCGTCGCTGACATTATAGAAAAAAAAAAAGACTTGCGTTCTCAAGATAGGAAGTCATGGCCTCAAGATAATAACACAAGATCACGAGATACGTAAATAGTCCCCTCAAAATACATAAATTGTGGCCATGACGTACGTAACTCATTCCTACAAAATAATAAGCCACATGAGCAGCAGTGCTAACAGTTATTATCAATAAACTCTCTTTCTCTGAATCATCACTATGACATTTAATGAGATCTGGGTAGTAATCAGATTGGAAATGCAATGCCTCCCTGACACAGTTGGGTGGATCTGAGTTGGTTGGTGGGTGGAGCTTTGGGAAGGGCAGAGTGGCTCCATCCAGATCCAGGTCTAATCTGTACAGCCTCCTCCTCCTCCTCCTCCTGCTCCTCCTCCTCTGATCACTGAAGGACATCACAGGGTGTATGGGTGTAGCTTCTTTTCTCCTGTGAAGGATCTCTTTTCTGAGTGTATGTATGACAGTAGGCTAGGCTAATGTTTTTTTACAGTTGACAGTGTCATCCAGGTGGGGTAGGAAATAAAGCTTAAATTTGAGTTGTGCCTCTGAGATCGATACGTTGGGCACTTTGATTTTTCGATGCAGTTTCATCAATGTTGTGTTCACGTTGTAACCAACTTCACCATTTCTTTGGTGATATTTGGTGAATTTATTACTCAGTTTAGTTTAGTATTAGTTGCTTTGCAGAAAAAAATGTTCACTATTTTTCTGCAATACTTTGGCAAAAATCTTTATTCAGACAATTAGATTTGCATTCAAAGTTTCTTTCAGAAATCTTATACCATTTAAATCAGCTAGCTTGTAGCAGTTTAAAATTTGTTTCTACTTTTTCTTCATTTTATTATTTACCTCAGCTAATTAAAGTAATTCATTTTCAGGATAATTGTATCAACGTGATTCCCCATGTTTTAGCTATGGCTTGTAGTTGTGGGATAGCATTTCAGCTATTGTGATTTAAAATATATGGCGAGCTATTAGCTAGATAATTTGTTTTGTGTAGGTAATTTTTTATTTTTATTATTATTAGTTTTGGAATTTAAAAAGGTCTGGGCTAAGTCTTACCTGCTCCTTGGTTATTTGTTGTTTTTTCTATATTATATTTTGACTAACCTTAGTCTTTCTAAAGGCTAACATTTAGCTATTTCAAAACACTGAACATTTAGGCGTTTACTGTTATTCTAACTCATTTAAATCTGTAGATGCTGGTCTTGGATGTTCTGCTAATTTACAGTTAACACTTCAGAGCCAAGAGCAGGTTCAAGGACAGTAGCTTTTAGCCGCAGAGTTTGTTTGGAGAAATATTTTGTTTTAGAGGACAGGTCTGTGGATCGAGGATTTTGTTGAAATGCACTGTTGCTTCATAGTGTTTTCCATGGTTTGATTGTTACTTTATTCTCTCTCTTTTTGTGTGTGTGTTGCAGTCGTGACAGTGACCTGTCTACAATCATCTCCAACCTGCACCAAAGCAGACAGCACGGCATGCCTGAGGGCCAGTCAGCCTCTGACCACAGCAGCAGCACTGGGAATACAGGTACCATTGTTGATTGTCATTCCACACTGGTGTGTTTTCATTACATCAAGCACACATACTGATTATCTTCTCCTTCCTTCACTTATCCTTACTGCAACCAGGCTGATGTTCTAATCACAATTAATCGTGATTAATCATCAGTTACCCTGTGAATAATGAGATTAAAATCTTTGACAGCCCTTCTCAACAATACTTTATTTTCATTATTAATTAATTAATCAACAGTTCCAACTGTTTATTGAGGAATATTTCAGTAAAATACCAACAGAGACAGTGTATCAGTGTGTTTGAGAACATTCATTATCCATTGCACAGTTCTAAACAAATGCATTCATCTCTAATTAAAGAAGGAATAGCCTTTTTATCAGCGAAGACCATACCTTTGCTCCAGTACTGCCACAGGTTCAACCCTGTGTCTTATCCCATTATCCAGAGGTACTGGGTTAGAAATAATCAGCACAGAACCAACACTTCTTTGGCCTCTGTCTTTGTGCTCATCTCCTCTGTCCAACAGATTAATTGTCCGTACGCTGCCTGTGATATCAGGCAGGGCGTGTGGACGGGGCAGGACATTAAAGTTGATCAACAGCTAGCGTCTAAGTCTTAGTTTGGGATTGATGTTCACCCTCATACTGGTCTAGTCAGCTGCTGATGTTGATGCAGACATCAGTGTGTAGATGACCTCATAAAGACGAAAAACAAGCTGTGGAGGTGGGTGGATGTTGGTGATGGAAGATAGAAGAAACAGTGTGGGTGTCAACATATAGAGGGTGGAAATGTAGTCAGATTCAGGACCAGGGCCTGGTACTTTCTATGATCGTGCCATGCACTTAACTTTAACTTTATAAATATGATATAGAGTGAAGAGACACAATTTTGTGTGTGTGTGTGTGTGTGCACACATATTTGTGTGTGTGTGTGCGTGTGTGCACACATATATATAGTGGCAAAACCAAAGCACTGACAGCTGAGGTCACCTCGTCCTGAATCAAAATCTAGACCAACAGTTCTGGACTGGAACATGCTACATGAAGTATGTGTGCTTCATGAATTATACACATGGACATGGCCTGGTAGTCGGGCCGTCAAGTTTGGTTTTACACAACAACGTGCGTGCTTATATGCAGCCATTTCAGCCATTTCAGCTACAGCTACTGCTGATCAATGTTTAGACACTAAGATTGTTGAGCATGTCCAAGGTTTAAAGTGTGATCTGGTGTAAGTTTTACTTGACATTATGTTCTACTAAAGGAAATGAACCTCAGGAGGAAACAAGGAATAAAGAGAGTGAAGCACAGAGGAGAGGAGGGAGAAGGCAAGGGTGAAGGAGTAAAGAGAGAGAAATGAGAGATGGGTGAGTGAGGTGGTGGAGTCAGAGGAAGGACAGACGGCAGCTCTGGCGGTTGTTGGCTCTGTTTATGTGTGTGTGCGCGTGTTTGTGTGTGTGTGTGTGTGTTTGTGTGGGTCAGGAGTAAAAAGGAAGCAGACCTGCCGGGCCGTCGCTGAGCCGGAGTCGGCCGTTAATTAAATCTAAGGGGCAGACAGGAGGCCTGCCTCCCTCCTTCTCCCCCTCTTCTTCTCTTCTTTCCTCTCCATCCATCCTTTCCTCCCTGATTCACGCTCTCATTCTCCAGCTGCTGGCTATTCTGAAACTCAGTGAGAGGTGGAGGGAAGGGAGGAGGGAAAGGAGAGGA